AACTCTAAATATGAAATATTGTTATCCATTTTTGTACTAATTTTTTTTTTTTATACTAATATAATTATCCCTTAAGCTGTAAAATTTTGCAGGCAATTGTTTGCAAAATAGTTTAGGAGATTTTTTAAAATGTTAAGGTTTTATTATAGAACAATGAAAAAAAAAAAAGATTTCTTTGAGTGATTATTTATCCATTTTTAAAGCCCATCCTCAAAGATAAAGAAAATCGTTTTAAGGCTTTATGTGAGTATATATATATATATATTATATGGAATCTTTGATAAAAAATAATTTTCCAAGACTAGATAGATTTTATGAGTAAAGGTTAAATTTGTTAGCTATCCCCAATAGTCTAATTTGAATAACCTTTTTTTCTTTTTATTTTGTAGAGCTTAGTAAGCTTTACAAAAAAAAATCATGAGATGGCTAGTACATTAGCTTTTAGTCCCGGAAGATTATTACACACATAAAATTAATATTTTTTTTAAAAATAATTTTTTTATTAGATATTTGGAACATGGTTAAACATTTAGTTAAGTATAATTTAGCTCAACAAGATTTAGTCTTTTTTTATTTATGAAATTTTTATCTTCTTGATTTTGACTTTGACGTTTCACTTTCATCACTAATGAAATTCTTTGTCATTACAACTAAAGGGTTTCGCCTACGAACTATATTTGGTTCAGTGTTAATAGTGTTGTTGAACTTCCAATTCTACTGACTTTGAACATTGAAGATCATGTGTAACTAGAGAGGTAACATAGTGATGGCAGAAAAAATTCACGATCAGATGATTTTTTATTGTTCTGAATCTTAGAATATACTATCAGCATACAAAAATTTATGCAATTTAGACAATACAGTATTATTAATATTCATTAATTGGATCACAATCATCTGATCGCGAATTTTTTCTGTCACCACTATGTTACTTGCAACAAGAGAACAATATTCGAGTATCAATATTCAGTATAAATCTATACTTCGCATTTTTCTTATTTCAACAAAGTTTCTTTTTGTGAAGCAGACAAAGCTATAGTACAAGATGTATTATGCTGAAGTTCTTATTACTAACAAGGGATTTTCACAGCTCACTACGAACGAGTTTCAGGAATTCACACATTTGTTAATCTCTTCTTTTTTTTCTTCTTATACCTTTGCTACTGCATAAAATATCCCACTCTTATTAAATAATGCCAAGATGCTTTATGTAAGATTAAATAATACCAGGATGTCTTATATGATATTGACACCTTCATACGATCTAAACCTGGTGAAAAGCCTGAAGAAGGTATAAGATCATCTTCAAGCAAAACTAAATCTTGGTGAAAAATAGAATACAAGCTTATGCTAAGGTGCTGCTATATGAAGAACCATGTTCTATATGAAAAGTAATTTATTAATATAGATTATTACAAGGGCATATATTAATACCCAGGTTTTAGTCCGGGTGCATGTTTAGAAGATACTTTATACAGTGGCAATAGTTTTGGTTTATTTTATTTACTTATTGAAAATTTGTTACTCATTAAGTTTATTATATACACTTAACAGATTATCATTCATTTTAATGGAGATTATGGAATAGGTATACTTCTTGCATGTTCTTTTAATTGTATAAGTAGGATTAAAATCAAATCGATATAATTTTATTATTATTATTAATTTTTTTTTTCTACTTTAAAGCGAGTAATTATTATTATTATTATTTTTATAATTATTTTTATTCTTATCTTTGTCATTATTATTGTTATCATTTTAATTGTTATTTTTATTATTATTGAAAGTTAATAAACACCATCATCTTCTCTATAGGAAAGGGGATAAGATGAACTAGTTTAAAAAATAAGTGTCTTAAATATTGTATACCGGGGTTCTCTAATTTGATCGGCAAGAGCAATAACCACAAGCCTTGTTGCACTTGAGGTCTGAATAAATTCTTGCTCATTTTCGTTTGAATCATGAATCACTTTAAGTGCACCATATCTCCATGTGCTATTAATTCTACTGAGCCAACATGCATAATATACAGTTGCAAACCTCTTATCAATTCATGATAATTTAAATATTTTGTCGTCTTATATTTAGGATTGATATGATCTGATGAGTTATTAGTTTTTAAAAGACTTAAATATTTCTGAAATATAATTTGCCCTATGAATATCTCTCTTTGTATCGATATCGTTTAGATAAAATCGGACTATATTATATATACTAAATTACTGCCCCATATTAGCAGATCTTTGATAGTATTCAAATACTTTATTATAATCTAGATCGACCTCCTCTTCATAATACCACTACACACTGACCCAACACAACCAAAATCAGCAAATCTCTTATGCTATTCGAATCTCTACTCCCAATTCATAACAATAACAAAGACCAATATCGTTCATTATATCCGGTCTCCTAACTCAGCTGCTTTCATATAATATTTAAAAGCCTACTTTGCGTCCTTCTCATCGAATTTATTATTGCAACTAAAATCACGAAGTTGTTTAAAGTAGAGTTAATATATGGCTTTATATTTTGTTAAGTAAAACATAATGATTATATCTGAATATATCCGGATATAAAAACATAGTAAAGTATTAACTAGTTTGGAGTTTATTTTTACTTAAAAAAAAAAAAAGCATTAAATAGATACAAACTTTAAATTGTCTGGAGCATAGTCAAAGGACATTTAATGTTTAGTCAAAGTAGAGCTATTAGTTTATAGTATAGAACAAAATGGAAAGCACATAATGATATTACAAGGTTCTAATAACAGAAATTTAATAAATTGTACCATTAATAGACAGAGTTGCATAACAAAAGTACCTGTCAAAAAAAATAAAATATACGTATCGCAAGTGACGTCAAAAAAATAGTGTATTACGATATACTTGCATACAATTGTAATGAACAGGAGTTGGTCTCATGTAATTGTTTATTGATAACAATTACCATAAATCGGGAATCGATCAACGATTATTGTTCTAAACTAATTGGGTTTTCAGTTTTTCACATAAAAAATTTATTTTTTGTAAATTCTTGCTATTTTCAACCATTTCAAAAACCGCGATAATACAAAAAATCACTAATTTTATTGGTTAAAATTAGGGTGCACTACAGTGCAGGTGCATGAAAAACTTAAACCCATTTTTATATATATTATTTAGGAAAAAACTAATTTGACACCTAGTGTATTAAATCTGGGTATTTGTATAATATATAAATTAAATAATTTTTATTAAGAATATTTCTAACTATAACCAGTGGTGATCATCACCAGGGCGCCTATATCTCAAAAACATACTAAGTAAATAGGATCAGGTACTCTAAGTAAAAATGTTCAGGACTCTCAAAAACCTCACAAAAACTGAGATCAGGCCTTAATGGGCCCTTATAGTAGGTCTATATTATTTTATATAAAAAAAAAATTAATTCTCTAATTTCTAACCCTGACCTTAAAAATAATTAGGAGTGGTGATCATCACCACTAGTGATTTTAAGTATATTTCTTTTATTAAAATAAACAATAAACAAAAATATCTATATCTATAACTATATACTAAAAAAATTTGTGTATAATGATAATGTTTAGATTACTTGCATAAATTATTTTTATTAAATTGTGTAACTATAAATTATAAAACCTAATTGGCTATAGTTTGACGCGAAAAATGGTACGTGCTCTAGCCTTTACAGTTATAAAGAATATTATATACTGATTTTTTTATAAACAAAAAAACTTATATCTAAACAACTATTATAACTAACCTGTAAGATAATTACAAGTATAATACTAGCAATAGTAAAAACACGAGTAACAAACTTTTTTTTTTTTTTTACAGTACCTTACTATAGAATGCCATATTCTATTTGCCAAGATCTTTCAGGTATAGTACCTCCTATAAAATATTCAGATTTCAAGCTATTTCAAGCTTCAAGATGGCCTAATTTGTAACGGAATATGGTATTTATTTATCCAATACAATAACTTTAACTATATACTGCTGTGTTTCCGGAATAATGAGTAAGTTTTGCATTATTTTTTACAGTATGTAACTACTATAAACTAACTTACACTTACTTGCTATAGATCACCAGAATAGCAGTACTAGAACTTTCACCACTAACTTTTGATAAAAGTCATGTCAATCCATTTCAAACTAATACATTCTTATCCACATTACTGAAATAACAAGCAAGTTTTAGCAAATTTTTTTATTGTAACTTATGATAACACTCATGAGAATTCCGTTATGCCTTTACCTACATTCTTTATATTACTAGAATAGCAAGTGAGTTTTGAATCAATTTTTGTAGTACTTCAAACAATCATGATATCTCTAAAACAATTTAATTAACTCTTTCTCATGTTACTGAATAGTGAGAATTCACTTGTAATTTTTTCATAACAGAACTCTGTTATTATAATACCAATTAAATTCTGCGACAACAATAACTCTAATGTAAACTAACTTTTATTCACTTGCCATAGGTCACAAGTAAGTTCCGTACCAAATTTTCATGAAAAAAAAACTAGCACATTCTTATCTACATATGGTGTGTTACTGGAATATTGAGTAAGTCCAGTAACAGAATTTTTTATTGTCTCACCTTTACCCATCCCACACATTGTGGAATAGCAAGTAAGTCCTGTACTACAATTATTGCAGTAATTCATGTTAAAATTGTAATTCTAAAGTAATCTCTAACTCTTTATGCTTTTTTACAATCATATACACTTCTTATTGGTACATTGTTCCATACATTGCACATTTGTTCTATTAACGAGAATTTATTAATACCACCTATTATCATGTCCTCATTTTGATAACTACACCCAAAATCAGGCTGCTCATTCAATCCATTTTCAACAACTCTATCACCAGTCATTTTATCATCATAATCCCTCTTTGCTGATCTTTTGTTTCCATACTTTCTACCTCTTTCGGCCATATTGACTTCACCACAACTATAATTAACACTATATTTTCCATCGGCATTCCCCATATTAAAAGATCTTTGATAATTGAATATCTTATATTCTTCCATTTCACTACCAATTCCATTTTGGCAACAATCACTAATTTTTACAACCATCATCACACTTCTCAGTAAGATCTTTAATTACTGCTGATTCTTGATAGTAAATAAATACCTTTTGTTCATCCCTTTTAACCCTTACCCCGTTTCAGTAATAATTATCAAGATTTTCATTTTATAAGCACGTCTTTCATCAGCATACTTTGATGACTAATTGAGACTATATGCTCATCTTTTTCAGCATCAATTTCCTTTCGATAATAATGTCCAACAATAGATGCTTCATCTGTATCAGCAGATTCCTGACAATATTCGAAGGCTTTATTTTCATCTTTTTCGACACAGATTACATGTTGATAGCAATCGCTAACGATAGATGTTCCATTTGCAGATCTCATCTTACAAGATTTCTAATAGTAGATGAATGTCTTACTGTCCCTTTTAATTTGAACAGCAAGCAGGCCGTTTTCATCACAGCAAGCTTGGCTAGATTCGACCTTTTTAGCAGATTTTTGATAGCTCTTAAATATTCCAAATTCGTTCTTTTTGTCTCCAGTTTCTCTCCTTGATTAAAATTGATCACATTTGTACTGCCAGACGCCATAGATACGTACTCAATTCTTTTTTAGTTTGATTCAAACTTTTATCATTCGATGTAATCAATTTTTCCCGGTCAAACACTAATTTATTATCATCTTCTAACTTAGGTTCTATAAATAATTCTCCACCTTCAACACATTTTAAATTCCACTCAAATATCTTCTTTTCATTTTGATTGATTACTTTTCATTTTACATATCATGATCACATCATTATCATTGGACATTATAAATACGTTCTTCTCTTCTACTTCGTTTATTGTCTCTTGATCATTATTAACTGCCTAATTGCTTTATCACTAGCTTCTAAAAATTGTTTTTCTGTAGCCACTGCAACTATCTTTACTATGTAATATGATGTGCAGCTTGAGATCATAAGTCTGCTACGATAGTTCTTTCAATCCACAAACGAACCAATATACTACATCATCTTCATCAACCTTGCTCTCAACTGATATATTAAATCAGTATGTATACGTTTCAACAGATTCACTTCCTCTTTGTTTTATTCGAATTGCTTCCACAATCCTTTCTTCTAAATCATCATCTACCTCCATTCATTCATCATTATCTTTACATTTCATCTCATCATTTTTAACAACTGCATATTTATTAAACACTATACTCTCATCATTACTGCCGTCTTCGCTTTTATCTTCACTATCATCCGAATACCACTATACTAAATTCACTTTGTACCGTTAATACTGTCTGTTGGCGAGATTAATGGTAATCTGCCCAGGTTCTCACGTCGCAGATTAATAAATGACTTCTGTCAAATAATAATCCTAGCTCAGGCGATAAGGCGCTAAGTTCTTTTATTGTTAAAGTTGAATATTAAAGGAAAGTAAGAAGTTTGTTTATTAAAACTATTGAATGTTGGATAGGGGATTCTAATTAACGGATTTTTCTTTCAATATCTTAATTATGATCTGCGGTATTCTAAACATTTTACCGTCCATCCATAATGCCGACATGAAGCATGTGTACAAGAC